ATATATATATATATATATATATATATATACACACACACACACAGAAAAAACTAACAAACACTTTGGAACTATAATGAATAAGTTTTGTTGGGCTATACCACTTGGTGATGTATACCCTTAAAGTCCTCAACATTTTTTGACACTTAGATACCCTTATCGTATAGTGTAGTAGTTTTTTTTCTAGAGGTATTTTAAGTAATTAGTCAATAGTGAAGTAAAAATTCTTAATAGAAACAAAAGAATTTAACAATGACATCACCGACATGGTGTGTGACATCGCACATTATTTGTCTTTTAACTACTAATAGAATACCACTATTTTCTTATAGAAATATCTATTCTACCATTCTAAATGACAAAAAATGCCCCTACTTGAAAAATTTTATATTATAATTCAAGGGTATTTAAGTGTCAAAAACAGGTTGAGGACTTTAAATGTATACACCACCACGTAGTATACGTTAACAAAACCCATAGTAATATAGGATGAATCCTAGCCGTTAGATCTTCATCGCGTAATTCAAAATACATATCACTATCTGATTTTTTTAAAAAAATAGGATCGCGATGAAATTATGGGCATGTGTATTAAAAAATAGGTCGTACAAGAAAAATAGAAAATAAAGATTTTTGAAAATATAAAGTTGAATAAAATATCCCTGAAAGACAGTGGGGATAATTTGTTCATTGTAAATTCTTGAAAGTATTTTTTTTTTATATGGTGTGCAATAACGTTAGGTATATACACCCAACATTTCATCTTAATCTGATTTATAGAAAAAAGATTAAAATAAAAATAGTGATATGTATTTTGAACCACTCGATGAAGATCTGACAGTTGGGAACACTACGCAATGCCTATAGGCGAAAATGAACAGTGATTTCGCCTATGCTCATCACTGTCCAAAGTTCATCCCTCATAGTTGTCTGGAAGTATCAAATCGGAATGATATGAAATTTGGAGCATATGTTCATAAAAAATAAGAGAATCTAATAAAAAAATAAAAATAATAATTCATAAAATATAAATTGATCAAAATACCCCTGAAAATTTACGGGGCTATTTTGGTCAATTTATATTAATGAAATAGGTTTTTCATATTTTTGTTAGTTGCACCTTACTGAGATATACACACACTCCAAATTTTAGATCATTCTAATATATAGAAAAAAAATAAAAAATAAAACACTACCAAACAATTGTGACCGTGCGATAAACTTTGGACGGTGATGAGCATACACGAAATTACTGTTCATTTTCACCTATAGGCGTTGGGAAGACTTTTCCTATATATATATAGTAATTTTAGTATTCACTTATAAGTAAATATTATTTTAGAGAATTAGAAAAATAAAAATACAAAAACATATCATATAAACTTTTTATAATTCTACTTACTACTTGTATTTTGAGGTAATTATTTTTTTAAAGGGTGTGGTTTGTTAAGGTTGCAACCTTAAACAATCAAATGAAGCCGCACCTCCAAATTTGATCATAAATATAATTTTCACATTAAAAATTCTTAAGATGGCTTGTGAATCTATTTTCATATCTAAATATAAGATCTTAAACTCCAAAAATGATACAAATCAAATAGATCTATAAACACTTGAAAATCTTGAAAATGGATGGTCAAGATAATTTGTTGTAAATACTTTATTTTTAGGACTCAACTCAGTTTTTTGTTTTTCTTTTCATATTCATACATCTTGATGTCGAGATGATTGATTAGAGGTTTTTCTAACATCCAAATAACCTTCCATGATAGTTTTTTGAAGTACACGTTAATTCTAGATTTTAAAGTTGCAATCTTATATTAACTTCTTTTTTTAAAAAAAAATACAATTTCAATTGCATTATTTACATATCTAATTTGCATTTACGGTTTGAACATATTCAATTATATCATTCACTAACATAAATAAATTTATTTTTTATTTATATTAGAAAATATATTATGTACTTATAAGTAAGTATTATTTTAAGGGTGCGGTTTGTATAGAGCCTAGGCTCTAAACAATCAAATTAGAGCCTACCTTCAAATAGTGTCAAGAAATGTGGTTTCAATATTGAAAATCTTTGTGATTGTCTTAAAATACATTTTTATATTTATTTATAAAATGCAAAGCTTCAAAAATAGGGTAGATCAACATATCTATAAAACTTAAAATCTTAAAAATTGACGGTCTAAAAATGCATTACAAAATACACTATTTCCAAAACTTGAAAATCCATTTTTTTCTCATGTTCATACATCTTGATGTCGAGATGATCAATTTGAAGATATTTGGGCATCAAAACAACCTCTTCTAGTAAACTTTTTAGAGGTAGGTTCAAATTTGTATTGTTTAT